CCCGATCAACCCCCTCATTCTCCTCCCCCCACATCTCGACCTGCCTCATCCGCGAGGGCGCAGATCTAGGGTGGTGTGGCAGCCGTTTCGCACTCGCTATTCGACGGCGAGGTGCCTTTTATTGCGGGGCCTGCAGATATGCAGCTGTGGGTTTTGAGTATATGTCGTCTTGGTGGGTGGGTCACAGCCGCGATGGCCTGCGAGGCGGGAGAAGAAGAACAAGAAGGTATCTAGAAGAGTGCCCAGCATGGGGTTTCTTCTTGGGCCAGAAGGGGGTGGGAAGTGGATCTGTCCTTAGAGTGTGGGTGGTAGAAAACAGGGGGGGGTTGATGTCTTAGTCTTGGGTATCAGCAATTACAGTTATTCGAGAACAGTGTGGGTAGCGTTGAGCTGCGATGTGAAGCTGTGTCCCCCAGGCTGAAACTGACTTGGCTCGATTCATCGTGTACCAGGCGTGATGCAGTCGAGGCTTGCCAACTATGTCAAAGACTGAGGGATTGACTCATGCGTGTAGTATTCATAGTACAAATCGTATTCTCTTGACTATGTAGACTATGTACCGGCCGGTGGTGGTGGGTTAGTTTGTTATCTCAAATCAATATTGTACCCGGATCAGATAGGGCCACGGAGATCACCAGCGTCGCTTTCCAATTCCCTTTTTTCTCCATTCATCCAATATAGAATCTATAGCATGTGTTAACCCAAGCCTCGGCAGCCAATATCCAAATTCCTCGAAAGATCGTTTGCTGGCACTCCCGAATCAGGCCCCCTTACTCCCGCGTCCACAGCCACAGTCCGGGCTTCCAGGGGTGGTTTTCAACGGAGGGAATCACCTCATCAGTGTATTTTCCCCCGTTGTTCAGCACGTCACAAACACCAAAACCCCCTGCCTGGCCCTGCCCAGCCCTCCCACACCTGTCAGGGCTTCGATTGCCGTCCCCGGACCGAATGGGGCCTCCTTCCAAAATCCCCATAATTCCGACCTGACGCTTTCTTTACTTAGATGCTCGGGCTTTACCAACAACATCCACCCACCCATCCATCAAGCCCCTTGTAAATCCACTTTTTCTTCTTCGCGAATACGTCGAAAGCGCTGGCATAGCACCTAGAGCAGCCCACCCACCACCAACCATAATTATTTGAGGGAAAAATAAGGTGTGAGTGCCATCGCATTTTGCGTTGCAGATCAGTGCATATGTCAGGCCCCTTCCCTCTTTCTATCACTCTTTCTTTCTTTCTTCTCTTCCTCCTGCTTCTATGTGGGTTAATGTAATGTGATGTATCTACCAGTGTTGGGTCCAGGCCGCTTTCCGTGCGCGGGCCTATCACATGCAATTCTCCCCCCACAACACCCGGCCACCCCCCTGGCCCACACCCCCTGCCTGTCATTCTTTTTCCCTTGTGGTTCTTGCAAATTTCCCTTTTGGTATGTCGGCTCCGATGTGGGTGGCCATCTCCGTGCCCTGTCCTCTGCTGCCGCTGCTGCTGCTGCATTTGTGTGTGTGTGTGTGTGGGTGTACCATAGTATGTGTATGTGTATGTGCATGTGTGTGGGCACATGTGTGCCAGTGCATGTACGAAGGTGGATACCTGCCTGCTTGCCTACAGCTGAGCCGTGATGGTGGTGCCATGTCCTGCCTGGTATCCTGCGGGCTGGGGGACTTGAAGTGCATAGCATAGGCAGGCGGCAATGAAGAGGCAATCGGGGTGGATGGGCGGACGGACAGGGGGAGGGGGGGACAAGATTGCACCGGATTTTATGCATAATTGATGTCAGTCGCGAATCAGTGTATCGTGGGGCTCGAGTCGTCGGTGCCTTTTTGGTGACACTCTGGTGAGATCGACAAATGCAGGGCTTACTTTGCCTTGGATGACTGATATTCCGCAGCCAAGGTGTGCGGAATGAGTTGGGGTTGGGTTTTAGCTGCAGGTGTCAGTTGGCAATGCGGCGATGGTGTGCTATGAGTTTTTGTTCTGGACGGGAGACGGCTCAAGGTCGATCAGGTCGATCGTCTTGTCTTGCTCATCCGTCTGGCTCATCCGCCTACGTAGGAGAGGACATTATGCAAAAAGTCAAGTATAAAGAGGCATTCTGCATAATTGTGCACTTGAGACGTCGATCTTGAAGACACATCATCTTGCTTGCCCTGTTGGTTTGATTCGTGGACAGACTTGGTATCATTCTCTCCTTCTCTCTGTCTCTCGCTCTCTCTCTCCTCCTCCAGCTCTGCTCATCTGAATACGCAGGCAGGGTAATTACTCAACAACAACACACGACAATGGTGAGACATCTGTCCACTCCGTTGCCACCTCAAGACTAGACTATAAAGAGTGCATATTAGGGTCGTAACGTGTCCCACGTTCGCCCACGGCTTCTCAGAAGCTCGGCGCATATGCCCAACCACAATTCGTCAAAGCTTCGTTTCGACCGGCGTCTTCCCAGCCCCGACAAGCCTGGCAATTTCGCGGAAGACAATATCAGCTCGTGTTACTCTGTCGCCTCGCACCGTGGGGGAAGCAAGCAGCCGCGAACGTGCGTCATCCATGCTATTGTTTTCTTTTCCCCCCACGCTCGCGCGCACAGAACAAAGGCCCCACCGTGATGCGGCTTACTCCTTGTTGTTGAGCTGCTCGAGGATGGGCTTCTCCAGGCTCTCGGGCTTGGTGGTGCTGGCCCAGCGGCCCTTGACCTTGCCGTCGCGGCCGATCAGGAACTTCTCAAAGTTCCACTTGATCCTCTTGAGGCCCATGAGGCCGGGCTGCTCGTTCTTGAGCCACTCGTAGAGGGGGTCGGCCTTGTCACCGTTGACGTCGATCTTGCCATAGATGGGGAAGGAGACGCCATAATTGACCTGGCAGAATGACTGGATCTCGTCGTTGGTGCCAGGGTCCTGGCCGCCAAACTGGTTGCAAGGGAAACCGACAATGACGAAGTCGTCAGGGTGCTTCTCCTTGAGGCCCTTGTAGAGCTTCTCGAGGCCCTCAAACTGGGGGGTGAAACCGCACTTGGAGGCGGTATTGACGACAAGGACGACCTTGCCCTTGTACTCCTCAAGTGGCTTGGGCTCGCCGCGCTCTGCAGGTGGGGGTCACGGTATGTCAGCCAAGGTGTTTTCTTTGCCACTACAACGATGATGCTTGCGGCGGCGGTGATGATAGTGGTGGTGATGGTGGTAGTGCTGCGCCTGTGGTGCATTTGCAGACCGAAAGGGCAGTTCAAAGCGCTGGGCAGCGCACGAGGTTCAAATGAGGAAGGCAAGACGGCAGTTATCCATGCATATGCCAGCATATATGCCATGGGCGCAGCAAGCTGCGTTGCGCTTATGCGTGGACAGCGGGCAGATGGGGCCAGGAAAGGGTGGAAGCGAAGGGGTTCGGCGGCAGAGCTTACTGTCAACGGGCTTGAAGTCGTAGAAAGAGGTTGCTGATGCCATGGTTGCTAATGGCGATTGTGTGATGCAGATGGCAGATGGTGTTGGACGCGAGGGGGATCTTGGTCGCAGTGGGAAGGTGGTGTTTGATGGAACTGCAAGAGGTTGTTTACGTTGACGATGGTGATGAAGACGTCGAAGATGACGGCAATGCGCAACCGGAGCAGAGGGGTGGAAGGCGCAATTATTGGTATTTGTAAGGGCCAGGGCGAGGGCAGGGCTAGGGCCAGGGCCAGCTCGAGCTCCAGCAGCTCCAAGCACAGGGACGCGCCTCAGTCTAAGCCTGGCTGCAACCGAGCAGGGATTGCAGGACAGTGGGAGTGACATTGGGCATTTGCATTGGGTGGTGGAAGGCTCGGGAAGGTTTGGGAGAGGTGAGATGGAGGGGCAAAGTCAAGATGGGATGACGATGGATTCGGGTTTCAGTCCACCCGGGACGGCACAGTGCAGCAGCAGCGTGCCCTGGATGCCAATGGAGCCCACCTGCAGCCTGCTGTGTTGGGGGCTGTTTTGTGTGTTCAGCTGTTTCGATCCTGGATGATGCTGTGCCTCTTGTTGGTGATCCTCTTTTTTGCCTCTGCCTCTGACAGGAACGATAGTGCTATGTTTTTCGCCCAAAGCTGCTGGATCGGAACGGGGCCGGCTCGCCTGTCAACCTCGGCACATCCATCTCATTAACCCCAATTGAGCCAAGCTCTCCAGGCCCTGATTCAGGTTTTGCGCCTATCCATATGTCCAGACAATTCAGAAGTGAGTCTCTGGTCTGCACTACGGAAATAGCAATTCAACCGACCCCGAGTCGATGCAACAATCTATCCGCGGTGGAGATCAATCACGGCAGGCTCCCTCTCTCAGAATTGGCTGACATTCGAGGGTGGACGTTGCAGATTCGTTTCACTGCCGTGCATAGACTAGACCACCTAGTCCAATTCTCGTAGGAAGAGGCTCTCCCGCTGGTGGAGTGCAACACGAGGAACTGTTGGGGTAGATCCGCATGGTCCGGCCGCCTGTGGTGGGCGTGAGGGGTCCAAGGTCCAATGCCTGAGTGCGTGCCTGATCGATCCTGTCAAAGCTCGAGCTACCCCGCCAACCCCGATACGCGATAAGATATGGCGTGATGAGCGATAAGGAAGAGTCCCTTCTCCATTCAATCAGTTGGACTCAGCTGGCCTGAGCCCCTGAGATTGTCATGCGGGTGGTCTCCAAGGGCGTGCAAGGGACATGAATGTAGCTTCATCCATGATGCTTGCAGTGCTCTCTCATGAGAAGATCAATACTACAGTCAGAAATAACTCCTGGGCAGCTGACCTCGACCTCTGCCTTTGTCTCTGTCACTCACTCGCCCTTGCTGAGCTTCACCAGGCTGCAAACAGGTCTTTCTGAACCGAACCGGCCCACCGATGCTGAGGCAGACGGCACCCTCTCAGCAAACGGTACTTGAGTCTGTGCTGCAGAACTGCAGTTTCTCGAGTCTCCTGTGCTTCCTTGTCTTCCAATCAGCCCCTTGATGCAAAGGCTGGTAGGACCGAACATCAAGATAAAAGGGGCCAAGTCCAAGACCAGATCGAAATGGAAGTGCAACAAAAAAAGAATATTGTCATCGTAGGTATGTATCACCGTTCATTCTCCAGAGGCCTGAGTCTCTAGGACCGTTCCAATATAAGCTCCCCTAGCCACCAGTAGTCGACTTCAACCGTTGCAAGCTACTGTCTATCTACCTTGTACCCCTTCCAACATCCTTGCTATCAACGTTCCATTCGGGACTCGTCAGACGTCCCTGCACCCTGATATCATCATCTTCATCATGAGAGACTCTCAATTCCCGAGCCTCACTTCATCAACGCTCCCATACTGATTTATACCTAACCAGGTGGCGGTGTTATCGGCACTACCACCGCCTACTTCTTAACACGCCATCCCAAGTTCAACCCTTCTCTACACACAATCACTCTCCTGGAGGCAACCTCTATAGCGTCCGGCGCATCTGGCAAGGCAGGTGGGCTGTTGGCACTGTGGGCCTATCCGGAATGCCTGGTCCCCCTGTCCTATCGTCTGCACCGTGAGCTGGCTGAAGAGCATGGCGGCGTTGAGAAATGGGGTTACCGCCGACTGGGATGCGGCAGCATCGGGGCTATCGTGGCCAACGCCAGTACCAAGGCTCGCAGAGCAGCCAAGGAGGCCGCGCAGGCAAAGACACCTGCAACACAACCTGGGATGAGTGCTCTAGAGGCGAATGGCCATGGTAATGGCGTGACAAGAGAGCCCGAGTCATCGCCAGCAGGCACAGTCGACGGAAAGCTGGAGAATGGCGAGGCAAAGGCAGACAAGGACGTCAAGGAGTGGGAGAAGCTCCCCAAGCAAGACGAGGCCGCCACATCACTTCTCGCAGACTCAGTACTGCCCTCCGACCTGGACTGGATAGATCACAAATTAGTACAGCATTACGAGCAAATGGGTCGCCCAGGGTACACAGAAACGGCCCAAGTACACCCCTTCTACTTCACGACAGCCATCGCCGAGCTCGCCCGCGAAGCAGGAGTCGACATCCGGACGCAGGCGAAAGTAACCAAGATCACCCCCAGCCAGGCAGACGGCACTAAGACCGTCGAGTACGACGACCGGCAGCACGACGGCGCCGCGAGGCTCATCACCGGGGTAACAGATGTGATCGTCACCGCGGGGCCGTGGACGGGGACGCTCCTGCCGAGGACCAAGGTCGAGGGCCTACGCGCGCACAGCGTGGTCTACGAGGCGGACGTGAGCCCTTACGCCGTCTTTACCGACATCCAGCTGCCGTCCGACTACATTCCCGAGCACCGGGCCAAGCTGGGCCAGAAGCGGAAGCACAGGGGCAACGTCGACCCGGAGATCTACGCGCGGCCGTTCGGGGAGGTGTACGCATGTGGTGAGTAGCCGACCCCCTTCCCACATCCTCGGAAAACGTTCCACCAGCTCACACTAAAACCCCACCCCTAAGGCGAGCCAGACAAGAACGTGCCCCTCCCCGAGACGGCCGACCAGGTGCAGTGCGACGAGGCGCAGTGCGACGACCTGACGGCCTACATCGGGACCGTCTCGCCTGCGCTGGCCGCCGCGCCCGTCAAGGCCAAGCAGGCCTGCTACCTGCCGCGGCACATGCGCTTCGGCGACGAGCGCAGTCCCCTGATCGGCCAGACCTCGGCGCCGGGTGTGTGGGTCGCCGCCGGCCACACGTGCTGGGGCATCCAGAACGGGCCCGCCACGGGCTGCCTCGTCGCCGAGATGCTGCTCGACGGCGCGGCCACGAGCGCCGATATCGAGGTGCTGGATCCCAAGAAGTTCAAGGTCTAGCGTCTTCTTCTTCATCGGGTGGTTGGTGAGATACGATTTCGCCTTTGCGACGGTCTCGGGGGTTATGTACGAAAGGAATCTGTGTCGATAAGCTTTGTGCTCGTCTTGTCTCTATTAGCAGGATCCAGTGGCACCAAGATCCACGCAAGACCCCATCTGTCTGCGTAGACGCTCAGGTACCGTGTGGAGGTGATGACATGACCGGCACCCCATTGGTTCGGGGCCCAGGAGCCGGGGAACCACGCTCAGTCTAAGGATGACCTCTGCGTGACTCCTGGCCACTATGCCGGGGAGTGGGGGAGGAGGTCAGCCCGGCGTGGGGCAGCAGCGAGCCCAGCCGCCGACGGGAAGGGAGGAAGGGCAGGGGAGGCGGGACGGCACGGTGGAACTGTGGCGTCTCGTTTTTGACGTCCTCTGTGCATCCAAGCCAAGTTGTCTGGCGCTGCTGTGGGGGTAGGGGCGTCGGGAGGCGTGTTATGGAACGAGCTCAGAGGCTCACTTGCCAATGGCATGCGGCGGCCTCGAACCCAAATCATAGATACGGCGAGATGCGATCTTCAATATTTGTACGTATATCATCTCAAGTCATTCAAGCATCAATTAAGGGGCGCTGGGTCAGCGTGTAGGTAGTAAAGCGCGAAAAGTTTTGATAAGCGTCTATATACAGCATTTCGTCAACCACCCACACCATGTGGAGTTCCAGGAAAATATGCAAAGTCATGCAGTGAGATGCTCAACGCCACCCCCAAAGAAACGCTCAAAACCAGCCCGGGCTGTACAGTTGTGTATCTGTGACCGCTTCGTAGCCCGTGCCGTGCTTCTGAATGTTGCCAGCTTGTTTGTAGCCTTGAACAAGGATTAAGCCCTCTGTAAAGCCAATATTGGTCCTCGTGACCCAGAGATACCGGTTATAGCAGTGAGAGCCGACCAGCGCATTACTAGACCAATCACCTACAACGACTTCTCGATCTCCATAGCCTCCTTGATACCCTCCTCGATAGCCGACACCTTGACCTGTTCCAGCCTCCTCAGCGGCCTACGGCCGTACCCACCGTAGCCGAAGTAGCTCTGGATGGCCTGCTTGGTGCCGGGCACGGCTGCCTTGGTCAGGACCCAGTCGCATTTGGACAGGACTTTCTGCAGCTGCTCGGCCTCGTCCTTCTTGCCCTCAGCGTACAGGTTCCACACGCGGGCGCACAACTTAGGCATGACATTGGCGCCGCCGGCGATGATGCCGCTGCCGCCCGAGATGAGCGTCTGCGTCGTGAAGTCGCACACGCCGCCGAAAGCCATGTAGCCGCTGCCCTGGGACGACGGCGTCTTGGCCTTGGTCGCGAGGGCAACACGCGTCAGCTTGCCGGTGTTGCCACACGTGAACTTGGTGCCGATGATGTTGGGGTGCTGGGCGAGCTTGATGAGGAGGTCCGAGTCCATGTCGATGCCGGCGACTGCGCCTGGGTAGTTGTAGAGGATCAGGGGCAGGGGGGACTCGTCAGCCACAGCGATGAAGTAGTTATACACAGCGTCTTCGTCCATCTGGTTGCGGAAATATGAAGGGGGCAGGATGAGCACGTAGTCGCCGCCGGCCTTTTGGGACAGCTTGCAAAGCTCGACGGTTCCCTTCACACTGCCTTCTGTGGCGCCGACGACGACGGGTGTGTCCTTGAAGCCAGCCTCATCCAGCGCCTCTCGAGTTGCTGTTGTCACAGCCAGCTTCTCTTCACGGGTGCAGTGGGCTGCCTCGCCGTTGGAACCCATCACTACAAGGCCGACTAGACCATCGCGAACGAGACGCTGGGCATGCTTCTTGATGACGGGAATATCGAGCTCCTCAGTCTCTGGGTTAAAGAAGGTCATAGTTGGGGCGTAGATGCCGCAGGGCAGTGCCCGTCGGGACGTCGTGTGACCGTTTGTAGCCATGATGCGCAAAGGAGATGAGATTGGGACGACGACTAGAACAGACAGCCAAGACAAGGAGCTGTAAGAAATCGGACAATGGGTGACAAGTAGAGGCAAGCAGAAATTAGAAAGAAAATAAAGAGACCCGGGGCTTATTATATATGTTCTGGAGGGAAACTTCTCCCGGCAGCGCGATAAATCAGTTTCCCATGACCTAATGCTTTGGCATCGCCGGTAGCGGGGACCGAGTGTACATGGAGCACGGTATGTATGGATGTGGCAGAGAGGTCGAATGTATCGGATGTGGGCGTGTCGTGAAGACATTGGCCCGAGACTGGCAATGGATCGAATCAGGACACCACACTGGTGGCAGCCAGTCCCTACTAGATCCCGAGCGAAAGGCGGGACCCTGTCACCTTGTCCATGGGTAGACAGGCTCGACAGGCCACAGGGATGGGGGCAGGACGCAGAGACAAAGGAAAGACTAGGGAATTCGAGACCGTACTATTTTGGTGGGAAGATCCACGATGGGGCGTGGGGTGGCATGCCCCATCAAGCTCAACTGCAGCGCGGCGTAGGCCATAGCGACAGAAGGCCTTGAATCGACCCCGGCTGCTTCGATGATGCTTCCATCAACGAATGCTATAGAGCCCGCATTCTCAGCGGCGAAGTTTGATCCGCAGCGCATGTGTCAACGGGACTTGATCGACCTGTCTATGTCAGGGCAAGGAATCCGGTGACCTGGTGCTGCGGGTAAGCAAGTGAAAGGTCGCACCACAGGGTGAAAAACGTTTCTGGGTCTTTGCAGTATTTCGTGCAGGTGGCTGAGAACCTTGACCGTTTTATTGGAGGACAAATCACCCGAAGGGTGTTGAAGGTTTTCACTGCTGCCTCGACCCCATTTCTGCTTGGTGGTCATATTTTTTTTGTTGACAGTTCAAGTCTTCCATGCCTGAGCAGAGACTTTTCTTGTCCTTCTTTGGCCCTCAGAAACCATCCCCAAGAGACATGGACGCCTTTGGGGAGTCAGTCCTAGTCTTGACTATGAACCGGTCGACAGCGCAAGACTGGGGACGTGGCAGAAAGGCGGGGACAATGGGAAGGAGACCCCACGAAGTCAAAAGAAAAGGGAAGGCGGTGGGCTTCTCGAAGAGGGACCGAAGATGCATGCCAAGTAGCAGCGAGGCCGGCAATGTTGGCTGCATGCAGAACTGGATTGGGTTGGGCGCTGCAGGCTGTTGCTCTCGACGGTGCGTATCCAGTGCAATGCAGGCGTGAGCCGGGCTGGTGTGTGTCTGTGTGTCTGTGGCGAGGCCAGTCTCGGGGAGGGCGAAGGCACAGACGAATGTCACGATACCGAGGATTGCCAACGGGAGAGGAAAATCAAGTGTCGACTGACAGAAGTCGTCCCACGTCGTGACAGACGATGTGCGAGGTCACCCCAATGAGATGTCAACGCAGTACCGCAGTGGAGGGGGCGGTGATGAGTGGAAGGAAAAATAGAGGGGGGAGTAATTCCACGAATGAAAGGGGAGGTCAATCCAATGCGGTCTGGCTCGTCCGTGTTCGATTTCGAAGACGAAGCCTTGGTGAGGTTGGCAGGGCATTCCTTGTCCTGGGCAGGACGACTCAATCACTGCAATAAATATTGTGCACCCTCAGATCGTATGTGTGGTCCGGCGAATTTAGCCTGTTGTGGAGATTGAAGTGATTGAGTGAGGTGGCTGACTTGGATGCACGCTGAAGCGAAAAGGTGGATAGTTTGCAGTACATTGGAGTCCCGACGGGAGACAGCAGAGGGGTACATTACACACATTACACAGAGACAGAATCGCGGGGCAGAGATCGGCTAGTCGGCGTGTCGACGTGGGGGCGGGGGCGGGGTAACATCTTTCTGCCCTGTCACCCTGTGCCCGCTACTTCTCCAGGCTCTTGGCCCTTGGCACCACACCAGAGCAAGCTTCCCCATGCATTCGAGAAGAAGCCCCTGCCTGGCATGAAGCTGGCCATTCAAGTCATGTGTCTATTAATTTTCTGTCTTGGTCGTATAACTCTTCTATGCCATGCTGCAGTCTTCATCCAAGCAGACCACAAAAAGCGGCTGCCCTTGAGGAACCAGGAGCTGCTCTCCTGACATTGACATGAAATACTTCCAGATGTGTCCACCGGTTCATCTCTCTTTCGCGTAGAAAACATATACTAGTCTAGTACGTAGTACGCAGCTTGTCTGGTAGATTGCACGGTTGTGGACCACTCTCAAGGATCACGGCCCGGTCTTCGGCAGCCTTTGCCCCAGCGGCGACAGAGTCCATTCCGGGTCGTCTAGCATGATTAATCAGTCCAGCATCGTGAGCCAGGGCCTCGTGGGCATCGTTCGACCGAAAGTCCCAGGATCGCAGTCCCCAATCAGGGGAAGAAAATGCTGTGCTCATGACCTGTGCGAGGCTCGACTGTCTCATGAGGCTCGCCTGGGCACTCATCCTCTGCCCAGCCAGGCCAGACTAGAGGCAGACTGTTGGACATGACAGGGTCCATCAACATGCTCTAAAGTGGGCACCCCCTGTCCACACGACCCCGTCTCTTGGTACTTGGTCCTGTACGCTTCGAATGATGTCCGAGGGGAATTCCTCCAATTCGTGGTCTTGATGCCTCTCCATCCCCTCTCGGTCAATTTCTCCGATGCCAGCCTCTGCATAGCTCGCGGGTGCCCATCAGAGCTGCCAAGCTACCGTCATTGGGCAATTGACCTGCCAGGCTCACATGTTATTATTTAGACAATTGATGCCTTCAGGTTATTGAGCTTCCCTTCATCCCTTCTACTCCCTCATATTTATCACTGCTCCTCCAGCACGTTGAGCGGCATTCGTGACACAAGGCTCACCAGCTATTTACCCCAAACCTCCCTTTATATCACGACGGGAACACGACAGCAGCAGACAATATGGAGCCTCTCAACGTCTTGATGGTGAGTCCCACACTCCAATGGCACCACACCGGTCCTCTAACTGTCCTGTCAGATCGGTACCGGCGAGTACACCACGGGCTTCGTAGGAGGCGGTGCGTCCGGGTCAGACAAGAAGGTCGGTGTCGTGGGCCTGTCAATGTTCGACTTGCGCAGGAGAGGCAAGGTTGGCAAGCTGGGTATGGCTGGTGTCAATGGCAAGAAGTTCCCAGCTATTCGTGAGTATTCTGCATTTCCCCTGTTTCTCGCAGCTCCAACGAGCCAAGTGCTAAAATCGGCCAGGGGAACATCTCAACAAGAACATCCAGCAGGTCTACAACAACCTGGATACCTCCTTTGACTCCTTCCCCGACAACAACACTGTTGACCCGGATGCCTTCAAAAAGGCCATTGATCAACTCAAGCCCGGTGATGCTATCACCATCTTTACCCCTGACACAACGGTGAGACTCAAATTCTACGGGCCTTGACCGTCTGGGGACAGAAACTGATACGTGCCGCGACAGCACTTCCCTATCGCTCTGTACGCCATTGAGCGCGGAATCCATGTCATGATCACAAAGCCCGCAGTCAAGCTCCTTGAGCACCACATCAAGCTCATCGAGGCCGCAGAGAAGGCGGGTGTCTACGTCTACATCGAGCACCACAAGCGCTATGACCCCGCCTACGCGGACGCCCGTTTCCGCGCCCAGAAGCTCGGCGACTTCAACTACTTCTACAGCTACATGTCGCAGCCCAAGTCGCAGCTCGAGACCTTCAAGGCATGGGCCGGTGTCGAGTCCGACATCAGCTACTACCTGAACTCGCACCACATCGACGTCAACGAGTCCATGGTCACCCAGCTCGGCTTCGCCCCCGTCAAGGTGTCCGCCTCGGCCTCCAAGGGCATCGCGACCGGGCTGGGCTGCAACGAGATCACTGAGGACACCATCTCGCTCCTCGTGCACTGGGAGAAGGCAGGTGAGCCCGGCAAGCAGGCCACGGGCGTCTACACGGCGTCATGGACCGCACCGCAGAAGGCGGGCGTCCACTCCAACCAGTACTTCCACTACCTGGCCGCCAACGGCGAGATCCGTGTCGACCAGGCCAAGCGTGGCTACGACGTGGCCGACGACAGCGCCGGCCAGCTCATGTGGTACAACCCCTTCTACATGCGCTACGCCCCGGACGAGGACGGAAACTTCAACGGCCAGACCGGCTACGGCTACATCTCCATGGAGAAGTTCGTCGATGGCTGCCGCGCCGTCAACTCAAAGACGCTGACGCCCAAGGACCTGGACAACAAGGGCCTGCCCACGCTGAGGAACACGATCGCCACGACGGCGATCCTCGAGGCTGGCAGGAGGAGTATCGATGAGAACCGGGAGGTCAGGATCGAGTCTAAGGATGGAGTGTGGAAATTGGTTTAAGGGGAGGAGCTTGCATGGGATGAGGAATCGGCTGAAATTTGCACTAGGGTATCTTAGGTAATTTAGATTGCATCTTTTGGGATGAAAACAGCCACATCAAAATGAAGTCTTCCAATTGTGACTTCTAGTGCGCTGTGCGCGGCTTACGCGCGCCGTGGCAGCCCTGTACATGCACGTCGTCTCTATAAGACGAGGCATATGTAAAGGTGAGACACCGTCGCATCGTGAAGGCGTCAGGGTTGAGAGTCACTGTTCCAGTAGCGCGTCGGATGAATAGTATTAGGGACATTGATATTACTTTATGATTGTAGAGAGCCAATATTTGATGAACTCAATTGTTGATTGAGATTCCACCCATCTTGTCACTCTTCAAAGCATCGTAGAAAACAAACATCGAGACCCCGAGACAACCGAGATGGAAGTGTCTATCCGCCAGCAAGCGGTCGCTTTAGATATTTGGCATTTTCCCTGCGAATAATTATCGAGTCGAGTGCGCGCGGTCATAGCTCGACCTCCTAACCTCAATCTCCTCCTCGTCGTAGCTCGCTTCACTCATGAACGGGCTGTTGGCCCTGATCTGTTTGCCCTTGAACAGTAGTACTATGGGAATAGCGGTCATCGCGAGGCCGATGAAGCCAAGAAGGGAGCCCGCCCAGCCAAAGCCAAGGTCGTTGAACAGAGGCTGAGAGGCAAGGGGCAGGAACGCGCCAAACATGTTCCTTCCAAGGCTGGCAGCAGATAACGCCGATGCGGCGTACTTTTCGTACGCGTCAGTCAAGTAGTTGACTACGCCCAGGTAGATGGAGTAGATGCCGATGCCGACGCATGCGATGCCGCAGGTCGGGACCAGCCAGTACACGCTGCTGCGGCAGCTCCAGCCGTACCAAAACAGGCCGGCCCCGAATAATACTGAACCCGGGATGGAGAAGTAGAGCCGTGCCTCGGGGATCGGCTTGCCTGGTCTGTCCTTGTTTCGGCTCGCGGACTTAAGGTACATCATGTCCTGCAGGGGGTTGATAAAGGTGGCGATGAGTGCTCCTGCGCTGATAGCAAGTTGAACTAGTCCCGTTTGCATTGTGTTGAAGTTGTAGGCCGATTCGAATGTCTGGACGACGGATGAGAAGAACAAGAACAGGATGCCCCAGGCGAACGACACCCAGCTGAATTCAGTCAGTAAATGATTACGGCTTCAATTACAAGGGTTTTCTTTCAGAGGAAAAAAATCAAATGAAGGGGAAACCTCATACAGAGTGAAGAAGATTACGACAGGCTCCTTAGTTAGCATGCGAGCAGGCCTTGCAAACGACAATTTGAGTTGCGTCGCGATGGAATCGCGATTCAGTTCGCTCTCAGCGTAGATCGGCCTGTTGGTCTCCTTCCTGAGCTTCTTCGCGCGGCGGGCGAGGATGACGTCGCTCCGGGTCTCTCGGAGGATGAGCCAGAATATCGGGATGAGTCCCGCGTTGTAGATGATCTGGACGTAGAAGATCCACCGCCACGGGTCTACTTTGTTGATTTGGATAATGGCGCTCCCAATGAAGGGTCCCAGCGCGATGCCGGCAACAGACGTGAAACCAAATAGGGACATTGGTAGCGAGCGGGCCCTGTCACCCTTCCAGACGTCTGCGATCGAGCCTCCGACGATGTTTATGCTCACTGATGAGGCTCCTCCGCCGAACTGCGTGGTTAACAGTCAGTGGGAGGTACTGATGGAGCACAAAGAGAGGTCACATACAAAGCGGGTCACGATCAATGTCGCATAATTTTGAGCAAAGGCAGAGCCGAAAAGGAATGCGACGAAAATGATGTAGGCGCCAAAATATCTGAGAAGAGTGTATCGTGTGAGCACCACTTATAATACCAGCATCATGATCAACGGTACAATGAGCCAAAGACCACGTACCCAGGCATTCGGCCTTTAGATTCCGTTAATGGCACGAAAATCAAAGGCCACACAGCGGCTCCGATGTTCCAGCTGACTGTCGCCCAGATCGAATTGTCGAAGGGTGCCGTCAGGATGTTGAACTCTGAACTGTAGTAGGTGGAGCCGACGCCATAACTCCCCGCTGGCAGCCCGGTGAGGATAGAAACGAAGCAGACCGTAACAGTCAGGACCCATTTGTACCACGTTGCCCAGTTAAAAGGGTTATCGGGGTCGTCCGGGCCGTTCCAGGAGTGGATGATCCTGCCATCCTCGGTGGTCTTCTCGCCGGGCACATCGCCTGCTTTTCGCTCTGTTTCCAGCGTGCCGTGTTCCGTATTTGGCGGTGTTGTTGAGTCTGATAACGAAGCACGCGATGGATCGCCTTGATATCCACATTAGCCTGCCGTTTCTGGAGTTCGAGACGATCGATGAGGACATACTGGGCCGTAACGGCGCGGGCGACCGGTGCTCTAACTTCTCAACGTCTGGCTCAGACATGCCAGGTGGCTCGTGTCGTAGACTCAGACCCAATCCCTAGGTATTGTGTAGTGATATTAAGAGCCAGACAGGAGGAAAACATCCACGCAAACCTGCCATTTCAGTAGCTTGAGAGCCATCGTCCATCTTAAATACGTGCAGGGTCTGTGGGACCGAAAAAATGGGCTAGGACGGATTACAGATCGAAAATGCGGCTCTTCCGGAGGTTTACTCGGGCACTACTGCCATCGACCAGCTTTCCAGGCTAGTCTCACAAGTGAAGTCATAGTGATGTTGGGCCCTGAATCGTAGGCCGGGACAACCTCGGAGCCGTGGTATGAGACGTCTTGAACCTCGCGACTCGCATGATAAGCCCGCTGAGCTCACGGTTCATGTTGGGGCAAAAGTCTGACGGCTCCGCGTCATGTCGCTCTGATAAGTTGGCCAAAATTGTGTGGGTGGCCCAGTTGTCGCGGTGACAATTTGCGGCGAAACTCCGAGTTGATCGGCAAAGCCTGTTTGAAATCAACATTGGTCCCACGGGTGTGACGTTGACATCAATCCACGACTGAGTCCGAACCCTGATTTGACATCTGGGCCCTTACTTGACTGCATGCTCCAGCTGCTCGCCTCTGGACAGCCTGGGTATTCAGACAATACTGCCACCAGAAATCAATGTGACTTTATGAACATTTTCAAGTCCTGTGCGCATATAATTCCACCTGATGTCGTCTTTGGATCGCTTCCGGACTTTTATTCACTTAGGGTACACTGGATTCTTAATCAGCTTGTAGGGAGTGCCATTGAATTGTAATACTTCAGCTGAAGAGTAGTCAGGCCGTCGCCGTGCCAGTGGCTCGAATTGATGTGTGTGGGGGAGACAGAACACGGAAAGCCCCAATGATATAAGATTCACTATCTAGATAGTGAGCAGCAATATTATAGTGAAAGTATGATATCGTAGCAGATCAATCGCTCTTGCTTTATCGTTAGAAATTATTAGAAACTCACGAGGCAATTTGTGTCACTAGAAATTGCGTACTACCTAGGCAAGAATGATTGATGTTTACTTCAGGACCGCTTTGACTTCGTCTGTATACCTGCATATGGACCATTTACTGCTTCTTCCTCAGCTTTTGAAAATGCAGGCATTCGAGTACACATGGCTTGATTGAGCAAGCCGCTCCTTGCTCATTTCCCATATCCCATGTTAGGAGACATTGTTTCCCCCGCGAAAAATTTCTAGGTGTTTTGGCATTTGATAAAAAGAGATCTTGGAGTCGAATCGTTTATTTGATCCCGACTCAGCTCAGACCGCGTGTCGTATTTGCTGTAGCTATTCATCTTATGGTGCTATAGGTGGCGCATTAAAACGTCATGCCCTTGAATCTGGCTAAGTTATGGAGTCACTCTTACGTCGACAGCGTTGCTAGGCATGTTGAGTGTGTCTGTATATAGTTCGTGTATCACGGGGCAAATCCTGCGTCGCCTTGCAGTGCATTGTCTACTGTAATTCCAAGCATGAATTCTCTCAAATTCTCAACTTCATTGGTCAAGTCTAACGTATCTCTAGAGCTCTCCTACCATCCGCGGTCGATATTTTGGATGGGACTCATATATTTGTGAAAATCAAGGAATTGACTGTTGTCTAAATTTTCTCATATATGTGAGCCTGTACGTAAAGTGACCTTGCGCACCCGGGTTCATATATGGCAGCTTGGTTCCAGTGTTCAAGCTCGAATGTGTATTGTGTACGAAGTTTCCAGCCTCCAAGATCTTTACGGCTGAGTTCAACTTTTCTCCTAAAGAAACAAACACACTCAACCTGTGTTGAAATACCGTGAAGACCGTTGCAAAATAATGGCGGCCGAAATAGTGTTCAATTCTTTTGCGCACGGCCAAGTTTACGGAACCGCAGCTAGACTAAACATCGGCGCCGGGCGGGTCCTCGAGTCGCCGGATTAGATCCATAAATGCCGGTAGTCGGAGGTCACACAATGCGCGCCCTTCCGCTTATGGATTTGCACGAAGAACTTTTCTGCCGACTCGTGCACACATCGCTGACTGCGCCCCCATTCACTTACCCGAATCAATAAGTCAGTATCAGCATCAAGGACATTTGACTCTACTGTTGCTCTAGGCGTATCATTGCGTGGGCTCAGTTCAAGGCGGGGGTTTCCGGTGAAGATGAGCGGTCAGAACGGGGACGCGATTGTCGACCCTAGGCAAGCGCCAGCCCTAGATGGAGCACGGGACAACGAGACGACACCTCTCCTCAATGGGCAGCCAAAAGCTGCCCCCGGAGATGCTGAAGGGCAGCAGCAGCATAACGGCAGTTCAGGAAACCAGGAGCAGACGGTCCTAGTCGAAGACGTCAGCGGCCCGAAGCTATGGCTCATCCTCAGCGCTGCATACGTCGGCGTCTTCCTGGGGGCCATCGACTCGACCATCATAGCTACGTTATCGGCGCCCATCTCGAGCGAGTTCAAGTCGCTGAGCCTGCTGTCATGGCTGGCTACGGCCTACCTGATCGCCAATGCCGCCTGCCAGCCTATCTCGGGCAGACTCACTGACATCTTCGGGAGGGGCCCCGGGCTGGTGTTTAGCAACATCTTCTTCGCGGCGGGGAACCTCATCTGCGGCCTAGCCCAGAGCGACACAGTTATGATCATCGGCCGCGTGGTCGCGGGCATCGGAGGGGGCGGGCTGATGTCGATCTCGACATTCCTGGGCTCCGACCTTGTCCCCCTGAGGAAAAGAGGGATTATCCAGGGCATCGGCAACATCTGTTTCGGCTCCGGGGCGATGCTTGGCGGCGTCTTTGGTGGCTTCATTAACGACAATTCGTCGCGAGGGTGGCGGCTGGCGTTCCTGGTCCAGGTACCGGTCATCGTGGTGTCGGGCACGCTCGTGTTCTTCCTGGTCAAGGTCCCACCGAAGGCGTCGAACAAGTCGTACATCTCCCGCATCGATTTCGTGGGGGCTTTCTTGACCGTGGCGTTCCTTGTGGTTCTTCTGCTGGGCTTGAACGCCGGGGGAAACCTGGTGGCCTGGACTGACCCCCTGGTCCTGACGACACTGCCGTTGGCGTTTGTCCTGCTCGTGGGCTTCATCCTGTGGGAAAGCAGAGCCGCGCTGCCTATCATTCCAGTACGCCTGCTCGTCGACCGGACTGTTTTTACGGCCTGTATCACCAATCTCGTCTGTACAATGGGTTCGTATTCCCCGTTCTTTTCCCTCGATTCTTTCCGTGATTGTCCCGGTTTCAGGATGATATATCATGTCTCGGGAGCACCCTGAGTCGCCTTTGCGAGTTGAGGTGCTCCCGAGACATATGACAAGGTTCCGGATGAGATGTTATTTTGCTGACACGGTATATAGCAAACACGATGCTGATCTTCTACATACCCCTCTATCTTCAAGTTCTGGGCTACTCGCCGACGCAATCCGGCTATAGGATCTTCTTTGCCTCACTGGGAGTCTCGATCAGCTCTATCGGCTGCGGCTTGATCATGAAGAGGACTGGCCGATACCTTGGTCTGGGAATAGCTGTCCTGATCTCATTCGTAGCCGGCTACATCATGTTCTCGACCCTGGACGCCAACAGTCCCAGCTGGGTTCCGTTCCCGGCTTTCGTGCTCACGGGTGCAGGCTATGGGGGCATGCTCACTGTGACGCTTTTGGCATGCATCGCCGCGGTCGAGCACTCCCAGCAGGCGGTCATCACGTCTGCGACATACGCGTTCAGATCCGTGGGTGCCACGGTTGGTGTTACTATTGCGTCTACCGTGTACCAGAATATTCTGAAAGCGCGGCTCTGGGACCGGTTCGGCTCTCTGCCTGGCGCGGGCGAGGAGATCAAGAGGATTAGGGACGACCTGGGCGAGCTCAAACATCTCCCCGATGGCTGGAAGGACGGCGTCATCGCGTCGTTCATGGAGGCTTTCAGGGGTGTCTGGTTGACGGGGTTGGGTCTGGCATTGGTGGGCTTGTTATGTGTCTCGCTGATGAGACAGCATACTTTGCACTCGAACCTGGCCAGGAGGGAAGACTAGAAGGCTGCACCGTCCTGTGGCCTCTGGAGTCTAAATCGACGCGCCGAGCCTAGAAGCAGTGATGACAGGTGCGACTAGAAAAGTAGATGGGTCACAAATCACATACGAGCAGATGGGCAGATCAGCGACCTTGACCTGTGAACAGAGTTTTAGTTTTCGTCTGTACTCCTGTCTCTTCCTACTTGCATTTCCCCCCCACTGTTTCTTGCCCACGACGTAGAATCTGCACTAGAATTGGCCAAGGATACAAAGTCTGGGTGCCTCTTCTGTCTTTTTGGACCTTCTTGTTGCGACGAAAGGGTAGTTGCCAGACCCGGAATCAAAAGCTAAAGTCACGGGGGCAACTGCTAGAGGTCAACAGGTAACGGTCGTACCAGACCGGCCCTCACTCAGCCAGGCCAGGAAAGCACGAGCTTTGACCCCTAAACCACCGTGCTTCCTCGTGGACCAGCACATCGTTCTCACAAGCCAACACTCGCTCCTCCTTCAGTTTCTGCTGCCCTCGGCTCATTTCCACAATCCAGCCTTTGAGAGGTTGGCCTGGTTCCATCTCCCTGTCTAGCATATCCGCTTGCTTCTCCCTTTGCTTGCTTGCCACTGGGCACGACCTCGCCGATGCGACCAACCCACCGAGTAAATTGAAGAGGCGTTGTTCATAGCCGCCAGGCCTTCGAGGCTCGAAATTGGCGCGTTGGCGCCGGGGAGACCGATCGAGTCGTACATACACGAGGACGAGGCAACCCCGCTAGACCTCAGTGCATGCACACGAGATGTGAACTCGAATTTGTGGAAGATGCTGCTATCCGAGATGTTCAATGCCTTGATGACCTTCCAATCAGTCACTCTTGCTGGTGAGTCCTATGATATTTCTGCGGATATGTGACCCCTGTGCCTTCGTCCGATCCATCATTCTCGTGCTAATGCAGGTGCCCTTCTAGGCCGATATCCAGGTACCGACGTCTTGGGACGTATTGCAGGCAGAAGCTCGGATAATAAAAATCCCATCAATCACATCTTGCCCAGTCTCCGGCCGACAAAGACAGCTTCCAGAGAGCCCCATCTGGAATCGCCCAAGCCCGCCACGCCGCCGAATTCACCGTGTGTTTCTCCTTGCAAAAGCGGATCCCGAGGCTCGACCAGCCTTGCCTCCTGGTCTACCCGTGCGAAGTTTCAGCATTGTGGGAATGAATCCGAGTGCAACCCCATGTTGCACGCAGGGCAAAAACTCTCTTCGGTAGCGCTTTGATGCCGCACTGGGCTGGAGCTTGCTACCGGTAGGTGCAAATTCACGCCTCGGAGCAAGGATAGCGCGCAAGACATCGGTCCGCTTTGTCCTCATCTAGTCAGTCAGTCTATGTAGACTATGTACGCAGGCATCGTTCTGTGCACCACCGAGACCACATCAACACCCCGGTCTGATGCTCCGGGCAGAGGCACCAACCCAACGATTTCTCTTGCGATGACGGTGACAACATACTGCAACCACAGGCCCACATGGCAAAGCCTCAAAGCAATTGATCACCGGCTAGGCAGCTTAGGGAAGATAAGCGAGAGACGGCTTACACCGGCCAGACCAAACGTTTATTTCAGCCCCTCGGCCGGTCCTGCAGAAGCTGGCCAGCTGAGGCCTGCCATTTCTGGAAGGTGTCTCGTACTATGCGCCTGGCAAGGTACTAGCCGCTCTGCTATCCCACCTGGGAACGGCGCACCTGGAATACGCAGTACGGCGTCATGTAAAGGGGGGATCTGCACCAAGTGACGGCATGGCCAGTACTGTACTCCGTACTGTGAGAGATTCCCAGATCTACTATACCATATGTCGCATAACCGGGCACGGGAAGAGGGGCCGTTCACCGTTGTTACCTTACCACTACCCTTGCCCAGCCATGATCTTCGGCTTCACGACAGCATCACCTGGCCTAACCCGGTGGTCTGACCTGCCCCCAACGAGAGGCGAGGAGCTGCTCACAAGGTGTCGCCAAACAGTCGGCAACGCACGACAATCGGCTGAGGGCCCTTGGCCACCGCCTCGCCCTTGAATGCCGACGGGACATGCCAAGCTTCAGTCATCAACAGCAAAGAACTTCCTGCAGGATCAATGCCGGGCGCAGCTTTCCGCGTACAGCTGCAGAAGGAGCTGGCGATATGCCATGCATGTCAGCCACCTATCGGTATTGCTCACTATGGATGATGCCCAGCATTTTCTCACGCACAGAGGGATCCTAGAGGTTCTAGTGCCATCTTCGAGTTCGTCCAAGACGATCCACTCTCTGCATCTCTTGGGGGACGGCCGTGCCTTTCCCAGGACCAACTCGTATACTCACTCCATGCTGTAGCCGAGGGTGTCATGAAGCTGCAGAAGGTATCCGCGCTGCCGAAAGGAACTTTGTCCAATCCACACAGGTGGCCAGGGGGACTTACTGGAGGTCCCATGGATTATTGTCCCTATAGGCTGTTTCGTGGGTTGTCGTGGGTATCACGGGTATATTGTGCCTTTGACGCAGGCACGGCAGGCTGCCAACCTGAGGACTGACACGTCTGTGACACCGCACTGCCGTTGATTGTCACCTCGATAGGTAACGATCCTCATCACTGATGTCAGAGCGAGAACATTGTTCCATACCGTATACGAAAGCAAGACGTTCTCCTACTGCCCCAGTTGAGCCCAGGGGAACTGAGCCCTGGCACTCCCGCTTGCCACGGAGCGTCTAGCCGGAACTAGTCCCAACATGGTGAGCATCTTGCAGCCCTTTGATTTCCTTCTCGGCCGACGAGCAGGGTCGGTGAATAGGCTGATTTATCCTTCAGGCACCTCCAACGCCGTAGGACACTAGTCTTTTAGTTGCCAGAGATACATGCTGGTAATTTTCGAGGGGACGAAAATCATGTTGGGAGGAAGACACGAAGAACTTAAGCGCCAACCACTACTGCAATACCGGAAACCTTGAGTTCGACCTTGATAAAGTCTCGTCGGCATTGCTGATGGAGAAAGCTCGAACACCGAGGGGTTGAATCTATAAATAGCCAGCATTCTGCTTTATCCTCCGGCCGAAGACACCCCCCCAGTTCCATTGCGGCACGACGCCACAAGAATGTTATTGCCATTTTCAGTACTGGGTGGTCGACGGCTTCGCACCCTTCGGGTGTTTTCGGTCCCGATGTTTACGAACCAAGCTTGGGCGAGAATAAGCTAGGGTCAGATCGATAAAGAAATCAAGATTCATCGTCACATTCCGTTGCGTTTCGTCCGCTCGGAATTTCCACCTCTTCCGACCTAAATCGGCTAGACGCTGTGAACACCCACACAAATTCTCTGCCGCACAAAACATAACACTGCCAGGGACAGACAGGGGACCTTCGCAAAAGTTCAATGAAGATGTTCGGTGGCATGGGTGAACGAAACATGTCGGCCACAAGCCGTGCATGTGCCGTGACGTACGGCTCCGCCTTCTCCGCACTCTCGGCACAGCCCCGACCTTGAGACCGGACTGGGTCTTGGAAGACAGAGGTTCTGCGGATAACGGGACAAAGAAAGCCCAGCGAGCCAACGGGCAGGCTGGGACTAGCGTGTTCAAAAAGCTTCTGCCTGGTCCGGGACTGAGGGCACGAGGTGGTTTCCGTTGGAACACTGTGTACAATGTAACGGTATATCTGCTCATGCGGATCGCACGGAGTACTCCTGCATCGGCCGACGAGCCGATTTATCTCTTGCCCCGGAGTACAGGCCCGAATAGGAAGCCGAGGCCCAGGGACCCCATCGGAGTGCAGCCGGGGAACATGCAAGGAGATCCCTTACCTTGTATGTGCGCGGGACGTAATGATCGTCTACCAGCGAACGTCGGGTTTTCTAGAAGGGTATCGTGTTCAACATGAAGATGTCGTAACGGCATTTCTGCAATACCACAGCGCAGAAGCTACAGTTCTTCGGTCCTTTTGTCGAGCTCATCCAGCATCGTTGCCCTGGACCCACCGCGCCATCGATACTACCCTAATTGCCAAATACCGCCCGAGTTAAGCCGCGCCGTGGAACCGCGCAGGCTGCTAGCAGCATCGAAGTCCCGGAAAGATGATGCCAAAGCGACAGAAGATCGATCACACTGACTATGTGTTCCTCCGTTGACAGCTTGGTTAGCTCGTCTCCAGTTCCATTCTACCTAGACACCAACAATGGCCTTGAGCTCATCGACAACAATTTGCTTTGCAGGTAGCTGGTGGCTTGGTTGGCACCTGCCCTCCAATACCTACCTTGTTGGTCCATAAACGAGAATCGGACCACCCTTGTGGGTCAGCCATTTTTACGGGGCGACCTTGATACCGAGGCTTTTCGGCCCGCTCTTGAGTAACCCAGCTTACGGCTGTTGGGTCTAAGACATTCAGCATGCCAAGGTGTAGACGGCTTGGACATCTTGTATCTATGCGTGCCCAGTAATTTTCACATGCTGGCCACTTCGAAAGCAGTTGGCTGGGTTCCGAAGTTCCGCTCTTCGCTGAATCCGCAATTCGCCATGCGGACCCCATCCAAAGATTGCGGATAGAATTGTCCTCACCTCGTTGAGTGGTGGCATGTACCAGGCGAAGGCTTTCTCGAATCAGAGTGAAAACAAGCCCGGCACACGACGGGCTTGTCGGGCTTGTCGTCCTCATCCTACACAACTTCTATATGCCCGGGTCTGTTCTACAGCAGGAGAACGGGTCAAACACCTGCTCTTCCGGCAAACGGGTAGCATCCAGTCTACAGGACGGACCCCGTCCTCAAACCCCCAGTTTGCCGTTGCTTCGGTTCCCGAGACTTTACCGTTCTGTCCTCAACATTCTTTCTCACTCGCCTCTCGAACGGCAACATTGCCGCGTGGAGGCAAGTGCCAGGGTGACATCCAGGGATGAGAATCCTGACGCTCATCGGAACCGAAATTAAGATATCGGCCGACCGAGGTGGGTCTTGTACAGTTCAGTGCGTGCCATCACCAAATTATGTGCATGGGAACTGCCGAGAGTGGACA